AGCCTCGCTACCCGATGCGAGGATGGGGGGCTGTTGAAGACCGACGACCGCGCAGCCGTCTAGTCTACGGCCACACACACACACATAGTGTCCTTACCACCCCTGGACTGCATCTGCGCAGTTTCGTACCGCTGCGGCGCGGTTTTGCAAAAACCGTTCTGCAGCGGCGCGGTTTTGCCCTTCACCCGCAGCCTGGATTGATAGTCATTGTGGGTGTGGGGGCCGCGGGCCAGGACTTTTGTTTGAACAAAGTTTTGACAGTACATTTCTGTCGGGCCTTGGAACAGCTTGTGAGTGGTCACTGAAGACCTTCACACACCCGCAGCCGCGGCGGCGTCTCGACGGGCGAGTACAACAACATGCTCAACGCCCGCCTCGCTGCCAATGCCACGCCCTTCGGCATCTGGGCGGCTGCGGCAGCCGCATCCCCATCGTCGTCGGTCTACCGCAACACCACGGACCAGTGCGTCGCGTACATGTCGAGCGTGGACGGCCAGATCATGCCCATGCCGGACAACATCGTGCCCAAGCACTACAAGGACATCGCCAACATCAGCGACCCCAAGCTGCGCGACATGTGGTACAAGGCGTATGACACCGAGTTCCTCGGCCTCATCCAGAACGGCACGCTCAAGCCCATGCGCCGCCCCGCCAAGGTGCGCGTCCTCCCGCTGAAGGAGGTCGCCTCCCGGAAGTCCGACGGCCGGTGCAAGTGGCGCGGCTGTGTCATGGGCAACCTGATGCGGCCCGGCGTCGACTACACCAAGACCTTCGCGAGCGTCGTCCGCTACGGCACGACCCGCACCGTGCTCAACGTGGCCGCGCAGGAGGACATGGAGCTCATCACGTGCGACCAGCCCATGGCGTACACCTGGGCGGAGCGCGGGGAGGGCGAGACCTGGTACTGCGAGATGCCGAAGGGGCTCAAGGGCAAGCCCGAGTACTGCTACATCGACCCCATCACCGGCGAGGAGAAGGACATGGTGTGCGAGGTCGGCAACCTCTACGGCGCACCATCCGCAGGTAACGCTTGGTGGAACAAGGTCAAGTCCATCAACAAGGCGTTTCCTGGGCTCGTTCAGTCCGAGGCGGACCCGAGCTGCTTCACCCTCACCCGCAACAGCACGAAACTAATCGTCGTCATCTACGTGGACGACTTCGGCATCTTCCACTCCGGGACCACCGCTGGCAAGGCGCTCGCGCACGAGTACATCGAGCACTTCAACAAGCACGTCGGCAAGCCGCTCAAGGTCCACGAGGGAAAGGTGCACGAGTTCCTCGGGCTCACCATCACCAAGACGCAGACCGGTTTCAAGCTGTCTGCCAGCAAGTACATCGACACGCTGCGCGCGCGCGCTTCTTCCCAGGTGTGCCGAGGGGGACCGGGAGGCGGTGAGTCGTCGTCGCCCGGCGCTGCTTGCAGCGCCATGGCGATGGCGCTAAGAGGTTCCTCTTTTCCGCGCCCGCCCCCCCCGCAAGGCGCGTGATACACACGACCAGCTGAGTAACAAACTTTCGCACGCTCAGCACCTCGATGAGGTCACATGGACCACCAAGAACTGGCACGGGCTGCAGATGCAGCGACGGTCTGTCGTTCTCCACACCGCTGTGGCGTGGCAGACGGTGAACGAGCTAGCGTGCGGGGAGAGCGGCATTGTGCACGTGCTTACCGGAGTCGCTTAGGCGGCTCCGGTGGTTTGCCTGTGATAGTGCTAGCACGCGCCAGTACGCACCTGTGAGGAGAGAGTTTCTTTTATACATCGTGTGCTGTGAGAGAGGCGTGGTTTCAAGAATTCTTTTATACAATTCTAAGTCACGGCGAAAGTTCTACCAAATCCGGTGACCCGACGCGAAAAGTCGGCCACCTCCGACTGAACGCGACCAAGCAAATGCTCTGCCTCCTCGCCACGTGGGCAGCGCCCAGCGGTCCCAGCTCCGCGAGGGCTCTTTCCGAGGCTGATCCGGAGCCCGCGCCTGCGCCGCGCTCACCTCCTCCTTCGCCACGGCCTCCGCCTCCTAATCCGTCGCCACCGCCCTCTCCGCCACCACCACCACCTACACCGCCACCTACACCGCCTCCGCCTCTGGCCTCGCCGCCACCCTCGCCGCCATCCGTCCTCCCGTCGCCGCCGGCACCGCCGCCGCCGGCACCGCCGCCGCCACGCCCGCCATCGCCGCTGCCGCCATCGTCCCCGATGCCACCACCACCACCGCCACCACCTGCCTTACCTCCCTCGCCTCCCGCGCCGCCCCTCCCGCTGCCGGAGGGCGCGGGCTGCGCCGCCGCGCTCGGCGAGCGCCACGTCTTCACTCGCTTCACGCCCGACATCGCCGACCACCCAGGGCGGGAGAGCGACGCAGCGGTCGCGTTCCGCGCGCTCGCCTTCAGCCCGCGGGCGCCCGAGGAGCTGTGGCTGGCGGACAGCGCCGCCAGCGCGATGGTGGTGACCATCCCCGACGGCGGCGCGAGCCCTCCGGCGCGGCTGCTCATCGACCGCGCCGAGTACCACTACATGGCCTCCGTCTCCTCCTTCTCCTTTGACGGCATCGGCCAGTTTGCGACCTGCCAGGAGTCGCTGAACGACTACAGAGGGACGATGGAGCCCAACTTCTTCCAGGGCCCGACGCTGTACGACTCGCGGGCGGAGGTGGTGTCGCTCGTCAACGGGCAGCAGCAGCCGTGCGACGAGGCCGCGGGCGAGACCTGCTTCCTCATCCACATCGACATGCTGCATGAGTCGCCGATGTGTATGGGCATCGCGCACGACAGCGGCTCGTCCTCCGTCGTGCATGGCAAGACGTGGCAGAACGTGTACTGGACGTTCGACGGGGTGCACAACGGGCTGGTCCGCTTCGACTTCGAGTCGGACCACGGCCCCGGCTCGATGGCGCACGAGTTCGCCTCGGTGCGGCGGTACGAGGGCCTCGGCCTCGAGCGGGTGGACGGCGTGCCGAGCCAGCTGGTCGCCGACGCGGGGTTGCGCACGCTCTTCGTCGCCGACACGGGCAACGACCGCGTCCTGGCGGTCGAGATGGACTCGGGGTACTACTCGCACGACGCGCGCGAGGAGTACCAGATCTTCTCCTCGCCGATGGACTCGTTCAACTACTCGGTCTGGAGGGGGCTGGCGTGGTCCGTCCTGGCCGCCGTGCCGACGCCGAGCGGGCTCGCCCTCTCGCCCGACGGCGCGACGCTGTACGTGGGTTCGCGCCTCGGCGGCTCCATCTACGCGGTGGACGCAAGGAGTGGGCTGCTGCTGCAGGTTGTGCCGACCGGCGACCCGCTCGGCCCGACCGGCCTCGCGCTCAGCACGGAGGGCGTGCTCCACTTTGTGGCGGGCGGCGCGAGCGTGGGCGTGGTCGAGGTGACCGGGTCGTGCGCGGTGCCGGCCATCGACGCGAGCACCACCTGCTCCAACGGCGTGGAGGACGGCGACGAGACGGACACGGACTGCGGCGGCGCCGTGTGCGAGCGCTGCCCGCTCGAGCACTCGTGCGAGGAGGACAACGACTGCGCCTCTGGCTTTTGCACGGCGCCGGGCTGCGCCGTGCCGGACCCTGCGCCGGCGCCGAACGGGCTCGGCGGCTACCTCGAGTCGAGCGAGTACTTGACCTCGTTCAACCACCACATGCACAACAGCGACATGGGCGGCGCGTCGTACCTCAACCCGTACCCGCTGATGCAGGACGACTTTTGCGAGAGGGTCGGCACGTTTAACATGTCTGGGGTCGGCCCGGTCAACTGCTCCGTCATCGACTTCGACGCGCTGCTGCTCGGCGGCTGCTGGTGCCACGCGTGCCTGCCCGAGGACCCGTGCCTCAACGGCGGCGCCTGCCTCAACTTCGACAAGCAAGGCTACACCTGCGACTGCGACGGCACGGGCTTCGTCGGCGACCACTGCCACCTCGATCCCTCGCCGCCGCCGCCGCCGCCGCCGCCGCCGCCTGCTCCCTCGCCCCCGCCCAATCCGCCCTCGCTGCCGACGTCGCCTCCTCGATCTTCCGGGTCGGGCGCGAGTCTGCCCATCGGTGCTGTGGCCGGTGCGTCGCTCGGCGGCGTCTTAGGGCTGGCCCTCATCGCCACGGCTATCGTGCGGCGGCGCAGGCTGCGGGCGACGGAGGAGAAGGGGCCGCCCAAGATGGCGCGCCAGAGTCTCGAGCCTGCCGAGGAGCTTGGACAGCGCGCATAAACAGGACGACATAGCTGTCGTCGCGGCGCTTGTTTTAGGGTTGCGGCCCGCAGCCGAACTTTCGACGTTACTCTATTGAGACACGTCTGCTACCTGTGTCGTCGAGGCATCTTTCGTGGCACCCTCTCGAATGTGTATGGAGGCACCAACGTTAGTCGAGAGGTGTCACACGGTATCGCTGTCGGTCTGAGCGGTTTGAGTCTCGTGCTTGTGAAACCTAGGCTGTTTGAGAGGTGAGATAGCAGATAGATGGGTCCAGTGCGCGAGGAGAGCGAGAGAGAGAGAGCGCGCGTCTTACTCGGTGTGTGTGTTCAACCCCCCTGTGGTACCTCGCGAGGCCCCCACTGACTGCCCACTCTTGCCCGCACATCCCACGCGACACGGGTCACACTCACCGGGCGCACCCGGGCCGGCGCACATGTACATGTGACATGAGAGTTGAGTCTTGAGAGTATGAGAGACGCAGTCGCAGAGTCGACCCCGTCCGGCGCCGCATCTCAGTGCCGCATCGATCGTCGACGCGGCTCCTGTGACGCGCTGTGAGATCTGTGGGAAAATGCATTCTCAGCGTACGTAAAGAAACAAGATTCAGACACACACACAAAACACATTTCCAGTACGTATAGCTCATGATGAGCACATGTGGAATGATGCCATCTAGGGACTCTGAGGCGAGGCTTGGGCTTCTCGCTACCCGAGCTCCCTCTGTGACGCTAGGTCTCTGGCGTGCGGCGAGCTCCAGGCTAAACCCAGTGGCGCTTGTGGAAGAGACGCGCGCTGCGGCGTCGCCGGAGCAACACGCGAGGCGGCTCACTTCTTCGCCTTTTTGAGCGGCCCCTTGCCCGCCTTGCCTTTGCCCTTGCCCTTGGCCGCCTCCGCCTCCTTTCTCTTGTTGGGGATGATCGTCGCCTTGCCGAAGAAGTCCTCCATCCGGTTCTGCCCGCTCTTGCCCTTGCACTTCTTGAGCCGCTCGATCGCCTTGAGGACGCGCTCCTCGCCAAACTGCTTCTCGTCGATGAGGTAGCTGCAGCGGGCGCAAGAGGTGCAGCGGGCGCAAGAGGTGAGGCCGCCAGGCCGCCGCGCCGCGACGAGCGGGAGCGGGTGCGGGTGCGGGAGCGGGAGCGGGAGCGGGAGCGGGTGGTGGTGGTAGTGGGGTGGGGCGGGGGGGAGGGGGCGCCTCTTGAGCCCCTCCACGTCGGGATCGCTCCACTTGAAGGCGGGCGTGGCGGACGTGTCGGCCACCTCGGGCTCGCGGAACATGCGGCGCGCCTCCTCGAAAGGGAAGGGGTCGGGGATCATCTCCTGCGGAGGCGCGGGACCGGGGAGGGTGAGGAGGCCCTGGGGGCTGGCGGGGCGTGGCGGTGAGGAGGAGGGTGGGCGGAGTGTGAGTGTTTGGGGGGGGGGGGGGGGCTGGGGGTTGGGCGCTCCTGCAGCTGCTCGGGGGTGTGCTTCTTGCGCAAGTGCGCGAGGATGCCCTCCAAACTGCCGTGCTCCTTCAGCAGGCCGAGCGCCTTGACGGGCCCAATCCCCTTGATCGAGTTTGTGTAGTCCCAGCCCCAAAGAATGCACCTGCGCTGGCGGCGCCGGCTCGGGCACAAAAGGGGCAGGGGGGAGGGGCGTGGTGGGAGGAGGGGGCGCGGCGCGTGCGGCGGCGCGCACAGGTCGGTGAACTGCTCGATCGACATGTCGAGCCCCTCCGTGCCGAGGGCCAGCTCGAGGTTGAACTCGCGGATTGGCAGCTTGCGGGCCTGTGCGCCGGCGGGGCGGGGGGGTGGGCGGCGGGGCGGTGGGGCGGCGGGCGGCGGCGGGGCGGGGTTGGGGTTGGGGGGTGGGGATGCGGCGGAGTGCGCGCTGCAACCGCTCGCTCGCGCGCCTCGGGGGAGTTGAGGTTGCGGATGAGGAGCGGCGTGGCAAACGTGAGCGCGTCCATGTCCTCGGTCGCGGTGGCGTAGACGAGGCCGGCCTTGGCGAGCGCCGCGCAGGTGGCCTCCGCCTCGCACGGCGCGTCCACCACCGGCACGCCCATCAGCCCGAGCAGCTTCTTCACCTCCTCGGACTGCTCGCGCGATGCGCGGACGGTCCGCTTCTGCTGCCGCTCGACGTCCTCGGCGGAGCCGCCCTGCTCCTGCAGGCGCGTGAGCTCCGTTTCCGCCGCCTGCTGCCGCTCCTTCCGCTTCGCCAGCTCGCCCGACTTGAGCGTCGGCGGCTTGCCGTCGAAGACGAAGACGGGCTTGATCCCCGCCTCCATCATGCGGATCGTGCGGTAGAGCATGCCGGTGAGGTGCGAGGTGACCTCGCCCGCCTCGTTCGTGAGCTGGCCCTCGCCGCCCTGCTGGCGCACCGCGATCAGAAACTGGTAGATCTGCATGCTCGCGTCGATCGCGATCTTCCGCCTGAACGAGCGTGGGAACGAGGCGGCGCTCGGGGCTCGGGGCGCGGGCGGGCGGCCGGCGAAAACGGGCCCGCACCCGGCGAAGTACTCCATCTTGTGCTCCCGGACGCAGCGCGGCGCGTTGTCGTTGAGCAGCTTGGAGAGGCCGTGGATGCCCATGTGTGTGTGTGAGGATAACCAAGTCCAAGAGGCAGAAGCGGTGGTGGCTGTTGGCGCAGCTTGGCGCGAGCGGGACAAGAAATCGGACACATCGCGCCGACAACCGTGAATGACCGACGAGAGTGGGACGGCCGCGAGGTGGCATGAAGATTGCAGCGAGAATCGGCGAGAGACTGCGAAGAGAGATAGGAAGAGGCAGACTCCCCAGGGTGGGCGACGGCTAGCGCACCACACTCCTCTCCTTAAAATCCCTGTGTGGTGGCGGCGTGCCGTTCTCCCATCCCTCCCTTGGGTTGTGTGTTTTCTTTCTTTCTTTCTTTGAATGATTTAAAAAAGGCTTCGAGAGAGAGAGAGAGAGAGACTCGATCGCCGTGCAAAGCTCGCTTCCGAGCTCTCACGCCGCGCGTAGCCGTAGGGCCCTTAGGGGCCTAGAGAACACAACCCCCTCTCCCTTTTCTCCATTACGTGTGAGTGTTAGAGTTGTTTGGTATTGCTAAAAATCTCTCTCTCAGTAAGCTAAAAGTACGTACAACATACCTAAAACACTGAAAAAGAGGAAACAGGTTCGTGGCACGGCACCCGCGCGCGCTCCTGTGCTCGTTGGTGTGCTCGCGACGTGCCACCCGCGCTGCGCGTCGGGAGAGAGAGAGATTTCACTCTCTTGCGCGTCGGTCGCGACCTACGCGCCGGCGCTCTCGGCGCACCCAAGTCCAATCTGGAGTTGATCGTTGCTTCCCTTTCGCGAGGCGGTGCGGACTGCCGGAGGCCTCGGTCTCCCCTCTGCCCGTGCGACTTTCGCTAACTCCCTCGAGCGTAGATCGTCTCTCTTCGGCGCGCTCGAGCACGTTTGGCACCAAGAGGCTTTGATTCTTACGACCCTTATCCGCCAAGGGGCCAAGGCAGCAAGGCAGGTGTGCACTCTGCTAGTACTGTATGTAGGTATGTTGTTGGCAAAGTACTTGTGTACTCACACCACTACACTGTGGGGTGTGCCCGAGCATGATGTATGTGCGCGTCTCTATGCGCGGGGCTTCGGGGACCGAAGACGTAACAGCAGCAGCGACCTAAGATTCGCTGCACCGGGGGGCCGCCTTTTGCGCCTCCTTCACCGCGCGCTGCGTTGCCGAGAGCTGCCGAGAGAGAGCATTTCCGCCCAAATTTCGCCGCGCGTCCGCCCCGCTAGCAGCATCAGTATGGACCGGGCCGGCCCGCAGAGCGCCTCCATCCCTTCCAGCCTGGCGAGGGAGTTCCAACTCCTCCTCGGCGGGTCGACGGGCGAGGGCGGGCTGCTGGCGCTCTCGCGCTGCGAGACTCCGTCCGCTTCCGAGATGGGGATGGTGCGCATCTTCCTGCTACGGCTGCTGCCCTTCCAGTTCCTGCAGTGGATGTGCCGAAAGCGGGCGCCGAAGGCCGTCGACCGCGGCGGCTCCTTCCTCAAGAATGTGGCGCTGCTCGGCGGGCCTGAGCGGGTCTCGGCGATCCTGCGGATGGCCAAGCTGGACCCCAACCTGAGCGGCAACATCACGCAGGCGGAGCTGGCGGCGTTCGAGGGGCAGGCGGGCGCCTTTGTGCAGCAGGTCGTCTCCAACTGCCAGACGATGTCGGTCGTCGGGACGCTCGTGATGGGCCTGACGCACAACAACTCGATCGGGCGGCCGGCGCCGTGGTCCGCGAGCGAGGACTTCATAGAGGCGTACGGCGAGGACGCGGCGGACGGGCTGATGTGGATGACCTACCTCTCCAACGTCTCCGCCGAGCTGCTCGCCATCACGCTCCTGCTCATGTGTATCTCCACGCGCTCGATGCTCGTCTCGATCCTGCCGACGCTGCCAGCCAAGCTGCGCTTCATCCACAACGCGAACCCGCAGGGCGTCACCCACATGGTGCTCACCTCCACCATCCTCTGCCTCTGGATGGTCGTCATCTTTGGCGGCCTGCTGCAGTCGCCGCGCTGGGGCTGGCTCGCGCTCGGCGCCACCGTCGCCTTCCCGACCGCGTACTCGGCCTTCATGGCGCCGCACTACTTCGACGCCCTCTGCGAGCTGCACCGCGAGGTCAAGCTGACGGTCAGGCTGCACGAGACGCAAAAGCAGCGCGGCAAGTTTGCCGCCAGCGGCACCCAGCTCCACCTCGAAAAGTTCCTGCAGCAGCAGCCCGCCGGCGACCCGGCGCTCCAGGCCGCGCAGGACCTGGCGGCGCAGGACATGTAGGCGGGGGTCGGCGAGGGGCGGCGAGGGCGGCTCCGCCGCAGACATGGGGCCGAGCAGCGTGCCGCAAAGGGCGGCGGGGCGGGGCGTGGTGGTGGGGTGAGGCGATCAAGAGCCGTCGGTCTACGCATAGGGTCTACGGCTTGCGCGTTGCCGCGTCGAGGGCACATAGCGATAGAGGCCGGAAAGCGAGTGATGAGTGAGGCAGAGGGTGAGTGGCCATGCCCTATAAGGGAAAAAAACCAAGAAAGCGCAGGGTCCCGATTCTTCTTTCCGGGCGCGGAAATCCTTCTTTCCTAGTGTCGTGCGCGGTTGTAAAATTCTAAAAGAAAGAAAGAAAGAAAACAGACAACCCAAGGGAGGGATGGGAGGACGGCGCGCCGCCACCACACAGGGATTTTAAGGAGAGGTGTGTGGTGCGCTAAGCCGTCGCCCACCCTAGGGAGTCTGCCTCTTCCTATCTCTCTTCGCAGTCTCTCGCCGATTCTCGCTGCAATCTTCATGCCACCTCGCGGTCGTCCCACTCTCGTCGTTCTCTCCCTTGTCATTTCCTCCTCTGTCGCGTCGTTCTCTTCTGCCTCGTCCTGTGACGCCGCCGCCTGCCGGTCCCTTGTTCTCGCGGCTTCTTTCGCCTTTCGGCGCAACTCCGTCCTCCTCGCGGCGTATCCTGGCCCCTCGAGTCTATCGAGCTCCCCTCGCGCAAGGACCACATTTCTGACTCCCACTCCGATCATTTGCCTCCAAGTCATGTTGTTGCTCAGGTCCACTCTCTCTTCGAACACTCGTGCCTCTACGGATGATGCCGGCGCTGGGGTCCCCTTGTAAAATTCTTCTCAGTGTTGTGCGCAAGTCAAAATTCTTCTTTGTGTGCGCGCCTCCGCCGGCGTCTTTCCCTCGCCGCCAACCCGATCTAGCGTGATATATGCCCCCACGCGGGCGCGCCACCACCACGAGCGTGAACCTCCTGCCGAGCGACTTTGTGGGCCAGCGGGTGGAGCTGCAAGGGCTGACTGCCCGCGCCGATCTCAACGGACAGGTCGGTGTCGCCAAGTCCTACGACTCGGCGCGCGGCCGGCTCGCCGTCGCGCTGGATTCCGGAGAGGGCGCCGCCATGTCGGACGGCTTTTGGGGCTCCGGACCGCCGCTGCTGGTGCGGCCGGCGCACCTGCGGCTCGTGGAGCTCGAGACTGGCGCCGTCACAGCGGCCGCCAGCGACGAGATGCTGCGCGCCAAGCGGTACGTCGAGGCGGCCATCGAGCGCGCCGGCGGCGGCGGGCGCGAGGCGCGCCGGCTGCGCCGCCTCCTCGCCTCGCTCTTCCAGCGGCAGCTGCACTGCGTGCGGATGGCGGCCGCGGAGCACGCCAGCGTGCTGAGCGAGTGCGCGAGCCGGGCGGAGGTGCCTCCCGCGCTGTGGGACGCGCTGAGCGAGAGGCAGCAGCAGGCGCGCGCCGCGAGCGCGCACTGCGACGCCTCCTACCGCGCCCTCCTCTCGGACGCGATCGAGGCGCGCGACGCCGCCTGCTGGTCGCGCTCGGCGGCACTCGGCTGCGCCTTCCTCGCGGCGGAGCCCGACCGCGCGGCCGAGGCGCGGCAGCTGGCCGGCAAGCTGGTTCGGCTGCACGGCTGCCCCGGCTCGCGCCCCTGCCACGACGCGCGCGTCGCGCTCGCCGTCGCCGCCGCAGGCGGAGCCGGGCCGGTGGCGGAGGAGCCAGAGGTCTGCGCGCCCGTTTGCGCCGCCCTGCGCGCCGAGGTGTGGGAGCGGATGGTGGCCGCCGAGCCGCTACGGCGCGAGCTGCTCGAGCCGGGTGCGGGAGGGGGGACGTGGTAGTGTGGACGTGGAGCCGCGTACTATAAAACGTTCGTTTTGACCGCAGCGAATAAGTATCGAATACGTGTTACGTGTTCACACCTGAGCGGAGGCCAATTGATTCGCGAGGCTCTGGCAAAAGTGCGGTTGGCAACGGGCTCTTGTCCGTGCAAGCCTTCAGCTGGTGCCAAAACGTACCAAAACGTCCGTCCTCTCCGCGACCAATACGCGGTCGTCGGTAGAAATGGCTTGCTTGCAAGAATGGGATGCCGACAGGCGTCAGGCGGCGCATGCCGAGAAGTCGCTTGCCGTGCGGGAGCTCGTGCGCCTCTCCCTGCGCGTGCAGTCCACGGGCGTCGTCGCGGAGCTTCATCTCGACACGGCACTGGTTGCTACGAGCGGCAGCGGAGCTGATCACGAGCGACGAATTCGCAGGGGATGCCAGGCAACAGATGGGCGCGCAGATAATTGGCGTGGCGTCCTAAACAACGCACGAGCATGCTCAACTGCTGCGCGACGCTCGCTGCGACCCCGACTTTCTTTATGCGCTTCCTTTTGAGGCCTCGGAGGCTTTGGAAAGGAGGTTCGCAGCACCCTGAGGGAGGCGGCGAACCAGCTGAGCAACAAACTTTCGCACGCTCAGCACCTGGACGAGGTCACATGGACCACCAAGAACTGGCACGGGCTGCAGATGCAGCGCTTGTCTGTCGTCCTCCACACCGCCGTGGCGTGGCAGACGGTGAACGAGCTAGCGTGCGGGGAGAGCGGCATTGTGCATGGTGCGGAGTGCATTGCCGTTCTTAACGGAGTCGCTTAGGCGGCCTCCGGTGGTGAGCCGGTGTGATAAGGGGCCGTCGCCAGCTGTGACTTTCTTGGTGCCAGTCCGAACTGCTGTGAGAGGAGGGGGTGTTAGTGCTAGGCTTGCGCAGCAATACCTTAAACTTTTAGGCCCTCCAAATTCGGGTCGGAGCGTAGCGGAGTGGGCC